AACTACCTTATACTCTGGCTTAACTTTAAAAAACTTCACATTTAAAAATACTATCACATAAACCAGTTCTAGTGGTCTAACTCGCCATTCATTTAGTAGTGGGACTAAATCTACATGAGGCGTTTCTTTTTCATTATCTTATTGTTTGTTAATTATGAGTATAATATAGTACAAAGTATAAAATAATTAAGTAATAAATTTGTTTTAAAAAATTTTAGGTGTTTATCCTAATCAATGAAGGTTAAGAACTACAAAAAAAAACATTGGAGGTTATTATCTCTGATATGTATGATAGTTTGTCTGATTTTATTAAGTAAAATCTCTTGCAATAGATTATTGTTGTATGGCCTGTTTTCTTGTAATTCTGATCTGTGATCAACCTAGAATTTTACCTTGTGATTTAGCTCATGAAAGATCAGATTGAGTAAGCTGTATTCGACAAATCACGCTCAAATTGAGCAACAGTATTAATTATTCCCATAGTAATTTTTCCAGCTGAACTGGTAAGATCAATGTCTATAAGAACAAGACTTTAATTCATATTTTCTCTAATTTGTTGACTGTTAGCTAACATTATGTTCTAATCAGTCTAATGGCACCGTCAAAGTAAGTATGTAATTAAAAGAGTAACATGAAATAAAATATAGAGAATATTTAAGAAATATTGTTATTATGCATATCTGTAAGAATATGAATTAATGTGTCCAAGAGACAGATTGTTGTAATACTCATTAAAAAAAAAAAAAAAAATTATGCATATTACTCAAGAAGAACCTAAGAGACACTGTTTTTCATTAATCATTATCAGTCACACGGTTTTATTATGTCATCTATTTGAAGGGCATGACTTGGAAGTACTACTGCACAAGAGTCGCAACAAAAAAAAAATGGTTATTTACTTGATATCAAAATTACTGGGTAACTATGCAGAATAATTATTACTGATAATTTGCCATAAAGCGTACTAGGACTAGGACTTAATCTGACAGAGATTAAAATCCGGCAACATGATAAGTAATTAGCAAGTTGTCTAATAATCTGTCAATATTATCAATATTTTTATTAATTCTAATATAGGTAGGTAGGGAAGGGGTAAAAATAGGTAGGTCATAAATAGAATCTTTCTGCATAGGTGTTTTCCCATAACAATTCTTACAAAATGTGTTCTTTCATTATTATAACTAGCATGCCATGTATCTTGTGTCCATGACGACTAGAAAGGGACCACTACAGTACGTCAAAAAGGTACCATCTTATTTAAAAAATTTTATGCCATATTACCTCCAGATTCAGATTAATTGGTAGAATAACTTTTGCCTTTAATGATTAGTATATGAATAAGATGTATTACTGGGTCACAACTTCGTAATTCATCAAAAATGTCTTATTCCATTTTTCAAAATCTTTGTAGTAATAATAGTGGATTTATTTTCATATTGTTTGGTAATAATATTAAAAAAGTAATCCACTAAATGTTTTGGTAATTACTGATAAATCAAGATGAGTTTTACCAGTATCCGAAGCACCAATGAGTATTACATTTTAATAAGTATTAATTGAATCACAAGTTAATAAAACATTTATTACTTTGACATCAATACTTGGTAGGAAGGTAAAATCAAAGTCTCTTAAGTTAAAATTAAAGGAATTTTTTAAATCCTAGCTTGTTATTTAGAGTATAAATAATTCTTTCAGTAATCATCATTATGGTATCAGGTATAGTAAATAGCCCTTACTATACCTGATGATCTGAAACCTCATTAAGCAAGTTTGGCATGCTTCCCCCCAAACTCCACAAATAGTAAGTTCTCTGCATTACTATTTAAAATTTTAGAGTAAGAACTTACTCTATTATGCAATGCTCTATGATTGGTGTTTTATATTAATTCACCATTAAAAACCTTGAAGAAACAATACCTTGTACACAACACTAATCCTGAACTCTTGTCTGTTGCGATAATTCCAATAGTAGACTACAATTATTATCTATCTTGTGCATTTGTTGTTAAGCGTTTGCTATAATCTCCAAATCCTCGACATTAATGTTTATATTTAGCATAATGAGATGGATTAGTACTAAATACCCCTTCCTTCCCCTTTTATTTTAACATGACTTGTTGCTATTAAATCATTTTGTACTAGATAATTGAACCACTGCCTCATCATATATATATATTTTTCTGATAATGAGCAATAATTGTTATTTATGATAATGTAACATTTTTTAGCTACTTTCCGATTATGTCAACATAAATGAAAATTTGTTAATGGTAAAGGAATCAAATTACTTCTTAAACAGCTCTCTAACTATTCTTTCAGTAGTACCATGGCACTTGGCTATTGGTGTTATTCAACCAATTTGCCAGACCATCCATTAATTATTCATATCTATTAAGTTAAATGTACAGCAAAAAAAACAAAACAAGTTTTAATGTATTTTATTCTTGACACAACTTTGCCTTTTTCTTGGAGTTAATATAAAAAAATATGTATAAATAAAATTATAAATGATCAGCTAAGTATCTATATTCTTTCTGATATAATGGTTCATAAAAAATTGCTTCTACTACTCTAGCTTTCAGATTACCAAGTTTGATTACTTTAGAGCTACCAACAAAATAATTAAATACATTAATATGACATTGCATTCATGTCTAAAAAGTTTGTTCAAATACTATCTCATAGTAATCCAATCTACTATAATTTGAACACATATTAAATATATATGCTTCAGCTTTATGACCCTGCAGATTATAATGTAAACCAAAATCTACCTGTGCTTCTCCTCCTACGGTATGAATATGAATGATACTGCTATCCTTAATTTTATATTTTTGTATATAACAGGTTAGAACAGAATAACTGCTCTTATAAACTTGATTTCTTAGCTCTTCAAAAATTATTATAACTCAGATTATTCTTTAGTAATTTGATTATTTTCTCGGAACAACAATCCAAACCAGAGGATCCTTCATAGCTTGCTAGGGATTCTACACCAGATTTTATAACCTGTCTTTGTTAATTTGGCAATATTTCTTTGACTGTTGCCTTGCTTATAAAGAGTTATAAGTTTTGTGCATATATTTATTCTTATTCTTTGTATCAATAGATATTTGCTTAAATTTTAAATATATACAGAATATTGTTCATTAAATTTATCCTATCATACCAAAATCTTTGGTCCTTTTTTTTTTTTTTTTTTTTTTTGTGCAATTTACTGGTCTTTTTTATTTTAGCAATGTCAATGAAGTGATGAAGATTATGCTATCTATTTCATAACAATTGGCTATAATCTGAAATAACAAATTAGCTTGTTCTTGTTTCAATGGCAGATGCCCAAACTCATTTACTATAAGTAATTTATATGATATGGTAGACACTTTTGAATAAGGAATCAAGGGTTCCCTGATTTAGATTGTGATCTGTTTCAGCGACTGCGCCGGCTTCCAAAATATTACAGGTTTTCGAAGGTTTGATGTCATTCACTTTTGTTTTGGCCTATATTTGCTTTGTTTACACTTCACTTCATATGCTACTGTATACAGTACAAAATTTCTCGTATAATAACTTTATTATGTCATTATTTGTATATTCTTCAATAAGAGAATTTAAATATTCTGTTCTTATGCTTGTTTTATCAAAGCAAAGATCATACAATTTTTGAAAACCAAACAAAATTTTTAATCATGCTCCATCCAAAAAATTACTAGATAACTCATCTAGATAAAAAAGTTCTTTTTCAGCCAAAAAAATATTTAAATACTTTTTTTCATCGAAATATAGTTTATGAAAATTACTTACTATAGAAGCAGTGCTAGTTCCTGATATAGACAATATTTTGCTTAAATTATACGGTGTAAAACCTGCACCCATAAAATTATTTAAACATTATGTTAGTCCTGCAAACTGCATGAAATTTTTTAAAAGTAGAATAGATATTGCCACCTGAATGATGTAATATTTTAGACAAAAATTACGGCATAAATTCTGTCGCAAAGAAATCACTTTAATACATAGTCAGATTTCCCACATTATCAAAACAAACATCATGGAATTCTTCTAAAACACCTTCTCTTAGACTTCAAATATTTCCTAAAATATGTAATTTAAAATTTATCTCTGACTTAGTAAAATCACTTAAACACTTTGTTGGATTGCTTGTATAATCAAAAGATCATGGATTTAAAAAAAAAATAGATGAAGCATTAGATCCTGATGCACTGAGTGCAGAGGATAAATAATGTATTTCAAAACTTACATTAGTGAAACCAGCAAAATATTTTGATTTCTTTCCATTTTTATCAAAGAAAATTTCATTAAACTCTTTAAAGGCAGAACAATCCTTAACTTCTGCCCCGCTTTAAATACCAGATAAATTATTTATCTTAAGAACTCTGTTGGTGAAATCCTCTAAATATTTTGTTTTCTTTCCATTTTTATCAAACCAAAGATTATAAAGATCCTCAAAAGATTGTTTAGTTTTAGTTCCTGCTCCACTTAAAATACTAGAAATATTAGATATATCCATTTCATTTTCTTCTAGAATCTGTATATATTTTGTGTGGTTTCCAGCCTCATCAAACCAAGAACTATAAAAATCCTCAGAAGATTGTTCAATTCTTCAACTTCAATTCTTGCCCCATTTAAAATGCTATGAAAATTAGATAAATTTATTTCATTCTTTTTTAGAGTTTTTTTTTGGGGGGGATTTCCGATCTTATCAAACCAAAGATTATAAAGATACTCAAAAGATTGTTTAGCTTTACCTCCTGCTCCATTTAAAAAGTTAGAAATATTTAATTGATTTAATTACAATTTTTTTTAGAATCTGTAAATATTTTGTTGGGCTTCCTTCCTTATCAAAACAAATACCATAAGGTCCTCAAAAGATTGTTTACCTTTACTTCCTACTCCATTTAAAAGCAAGAAATATTCAATTGATTTATTCCAATCTTTTTTAGTCTATAAATATTTTGTTGGGCTTCCTTCCTTATCAAACCAGATTATAAAGATCCTCAAAAGATTGTTTAGCTTTACTTCTTTCTCCACTTGAAATGCTAAAAATATTACACTGATTTATTCCATTATTTTTTAGTCTATAAATATTTTGTTTTCTTTCCATCCTTATCAAACAAAAGATGATAAAAATCCTCAAAAGACTATTTAGTTTTACTTCCAACTCTATTTAAAATGCTAGAAATATTGCATATATTTATTCCATTCTTTATTAGAGTTGGTAAATATTTTGTGGGGTTTCCGTTCTCATCAAACCAAAGATTATAGATCCTCAAAAGATCTCTTAGCTTTGCTTCCTGCTCCACTTAAAATACAAGGCATATTAGATAGATTTATTTTATTCCTTTTTAGATTCTCTAAATAGTTTGTTGGGTTCCATCTTTACCAAACCAAAGATTATAAAGATCTCTAAAAGATTGTTCAGTTTGAATTCTTGCTTTATTTAAAATGCTAAACATATTATGATGAACTTGATTTAATGGAGCACATTTAACATCCTATGTCTTCTTCTGTATTTAAAAAAAACAAAAAAAAAAAAAAACGAAATACAGAAAAATCAGAACCAGCTGCTATACTTTAAGGGGATTGATGTTTTACTTTATCAGTGTTCATAATTTGAGATGTCTGATCATTAACTTTAGGGAGTTTGATTTTCTTAATTCTATCAAAATTACTGGACGATAAATCTTATTTATCTCGTTGTAATCTTTTTACTTTTTATTTTCTTTCTCTTCAATATCCATTTTTATTTTTATTTTTATTGCCAAGTATTTTTCCATCTCTCAATTTTTATCGAGGCATATAAACTCTTTAAATATTATACATAGAATTAACTTTTTGGGTTATTGAAAATACTGAAAAGTTAACTAATAAGTTATATAAGTATAATATCATAATACACCAAAAGGTATACAAAAAACAAATAATAAGTCTCAAAAGACTTAAACTGAATGTTAAAGTAAACTTATAAATAAAACCTTCTATAACATTGGAATGATAGATAACATGAGAATTTCATAAGAAAAATACAAAAATATACATTCACCTAATATGTAATTTGGCACAAGAACATTATAAGGCACATTTATCAAAAGCTAATATATTTTGGTCAACACTGAACTTGAAAAGAAAAATCATGTCTTATAACAAATTTTATCACAAAAGTAAATATAGTGACTATTTATCCAATTGCAATGCATTCATTTTACTTTCAATCTCTGGCAATGGAACTTGAGTAGAATTTGTCTCAATGTTTTGAAAATGGTATGATATAATTCCAACTAAATCATTAACATCTGCCTCTGGACCTGAAATACATTGGAATATTTCCTTCTTAAATTCGTCAGGCCCCTGGAATAAAAACAACAACAATAAAATTTATATTAGAAACAACAAATTTATTTAAAAGATAAAGAGTTGAATTTTTAAAAAGGATGATAATAATTTATATTTCTTAATTTGTTTAAATCTTCTATAAAGTTCGACTGAAATATCTATTCTGAATTATTTGTAAGACAATGAATATTATTTCTAAACATAACACAAGCTTCACATCAGTGATAAATTGTTTGTCCAACAACTTGTCAAATTATGTGATGTGAATGAACCAATAAGCCATATTTTATAATTTTATTAAAACAAGTCTTCTCTTTCTGAAATATTAATATAATTTAGAAGGTGAAAGTTAACATTTGAATTCCGTTATATTCGAGAACATACAAGTTCCTCTACGTTGTATTGAGTATAAGAGATTGTTGTTTAAATTATTTTTTTATTTTATTAATGCAAGTCTTGTTAAGTGAATGGGGAAAAACACCATGTGAATTTTATAGATTGGAAGATGAATTCAAAAATAAGTGATATTAAACAATTTGATAATAATGATTAAATTAGTAAAACAGAAACAAGTATGAATTACAATTAATCAAATTAGCAACCAAAAGCTACCAAGTTATGAATAATTGTAACATTAAATACAAAGAAAAAATTTTAAAATCAATTATTAAAATAAAAAAGAAGAAACCTGTGGACACATGATGGCAAGCAAATATTAAGCAATGGCAAATGTAATTTCCCATGGTGTATGCAAGAAAACTGCTCTAGAACAGCCGATATGATGTCTAATGCCAACATCCGCCAATACTTTCACTAATACATCAACATTTACAAATATCCCATTCAAAATCAAAGGCCAATGATGTTGGACAAAGGATTTCCACTGGTATGGAGCCCGAGTAAGTTAAATATATTTTCTTGTATTTCATTGAGTAGTAGATATGGATTAAATTAAAAGTAATCATAATCTATAAATAACAGCATATAATTATTATGTCCTAAAAAGCATCTAGGGACTTTAAGATCAAATTCTTACCTTAGACCAGAATGTTTTAAGTGTAGAATAATCAACTGATGGTGAAGAATTATAAGTCAAAAGATTTCTAAGAACTAACGCCCTCCTTCTGTGCTTAAATTCCTTCAAATAAGGTATAAAAATTGGTTTTAGGCTTGCCTGAACATCTCTCTTCACTAACTTTGTACATAGCCTTTCATCAATTTCATCAACAGTACAAACATACTGAAGCATTTCTTGAGAAAAATTCTGGTCTGGATTTTCACTATCTTCGGAAAGATGAGCAAGAATCTAAAAAAATTAAAAATTTTAAGTGATCATATTCTTTATTACTGTCAGAAGTGATTAATCTTGGTATTTAGTTAGGTTTTATAGCTATAATTCTGACTTCTCTAAGTATCTATATTAAGGTTTTGGTTTTTAAAAAAATAAGGCATACAAAAATTCAGGTAAAAATGAGTCATAATTGTCTAATTTAAAAAAAAAGAAGTCATAATCTAAAAAATGTATTTTTGGTATGTTAGATGAATAATTGGTATTAATATTGTTAAAGGTATATATTGATCAGAAAAGTAATATTTGTTTAATGCTTTAATAATTTATGCTGTTAAAACATATTTTATTTTAAAATCAAGCTGATGCTTGCTTATAATATGTTAATATGCTTGGTTGAATCATTTGGTACACTTGGTGAGTCCAGTTTCTACAAACACCTTGCCAATGTATTATAGTATGTACAGTCGAAAATTAAGTACACACTAATTTTGTGGGGTGAATTTGAGAAGGTTGGAGGAGTAAATGTGAGGCCACATATGGTTTTAAAATTCTACACAGCCATCACACAAAGGTTGAATAAGGATTGCCATCTTCAATAGTTAGTTTCTAAAATTCTGTAAAATAGTTTCGCAAGGGCCAATCCTATTTGTAATAGATGGGTGACATCTGAATAGAGGTACTATTGATCATACAATACAAGATTAACATCATATATTAACTACTACCACCACATGCAGGGTATGTTTTGTGAATTTGATGACAAAGTGTTATGACCATTTATGTTAAAATGGAACTAGTGGCTTAATTAATGACAGTGACTAAATCAGAAAAGGCTAAAAAAAAAATTGTGAGTTCACAGGTATCATTTATGAACTATGGAATTAAAAAAAAAAAATGACATGCCAAAGAAAGATATAACAAAACTAACTGCTCCAACATTCCATATAGGAACTTATATCGCTTCTCAAAAACCTGTGTTTGCAGTAAATTTTGATACATTTAATGTAAACTATATGTAAATTGTCATAAATGCCAATTTATTAATAATGTTTATCAATGTTCTGTTGAGATAAAATGTATTAGGATGAAACAAAATTGTCAGGTATTTCATTCAAAATTTCTTTAATGGGTTAACTGATATTTCAACCCAGACACGTGGGTCATCATCAGGATTAAAAATTACCAAATATAAAATAATATCAGTAAAATAATAAATATAAAAATTTAAGGGTAATAAGTGTAAAGAATAACAGTATTAAGAATCAATAAGTAAGATAACAGTAATAAGAGTAACGAAAAAATAATTTTTTCTCTAGTTATTTTCACTAATTATTTAGTTTATTGATTCTTACTTTTGATATACTTACCTTTTTCATTAATTTATAACAAGAAATCGTTTTCTTATGATATTAAAATGTTTTTATTATTGTTGTGTGTTTGTAACCGTTATCTCATTTATACATTTTATCTTTTACTTCCTACATTTACATTTATCATTTTGGTGATTTTATTCTTTACTCATATTACTATTATCTTAGTTATTTATTCTTATTACTATTATCTTGTTACTGTTATTCTTCACTCTTATTATCCTTAAACTTTAATATTTATAATTTACTTGATGCTATTTTATATTTTGTAATTTTTAGCCCTGATGATGATCCACATGTATGGGTCGAAATGTCGGCTAACCCATTAAAGAAATTTTGTTTCATCCTTGTGATTCATCAGTCAACTACTTACCTATCTATAAAAGGTATTACTTTGTACCTGCTAATTAGTTTCTTTTTTTAATAATACAATCCTCTGAATGACATCTCATTTCTGACCTAAAATGTATTAAAATTGCCCCGCGAAAAAGAATTTTTTAACGCATCTGAAACATGGTATTCAATTTTTACCTATTCTTGTTTTGGTTGTGTTTTTTATACTCCAAAGGTAGAAGAAAAGTACAGAACCGCTAATAAAAGAACCTGTAAGGAGGAAGTCAAATAAAACAATAGAAAAATTATAATAAAATAAAGCAACCAATTTTCTGTTACAAGAAAATTTCTTTTAAATCTAAAAGCATGTCATGTTAAGAATAAAAATTATTCAGAAAAACTTTACTTATAATTATGGTTCATTTATTGTACTGACAAAAAAAAAATCAGATATATTTTTCTAAAATATCCACAAATAATGTACAATCAGTTTTTGAAAATTCAAATTGGAAAGGAAGTAAGTAAAACATTTTTGTCCCTCAATTGGTTTTCACCCTGCAAAACTGCACAAGGTGGTAACAAAGCCATAAAAGGTGTATAAATATATAGGTCGTAGAAGGTGGTAACAAGATTATACATGTATGTCTAAAATGCTTCATTTTGTGAAATCTAGTACAATCCTTGAATGGAAATTCACACACGTTCCGTTGTTATGTTCTTCCAATCTGGGCACCCTTTCGATAAAACCTAACACATGCAGTAAAATGTGACCTTTATAACTTTCTTGGCATCAAGAACTTTTACTTCAATCCATAATTCTTATTTTTAACAAATTAAAACGTTATGCTAAAGAAAAAGGCCATCATATCACCAACTTTTCATCTTTACTTAATAATTTTGATGATGTTTGGGCTGAAACTGGAGCCTCTTCTCTCAATCTTATTTAGTTAAAGTGGATGAATTCATTGATTTTTTTTTATAGTAAAAAAACAAAATAAATACGTCATTTTATTAAAAAACATAAGTTAGGTCTTTCATCAACATTTTACGTTTTCATAGACTGGAGTAAAAAATAAATTAATAAATAAAAAGAACATTTAGTCAATAACAATACTTCTCCCCACATTGTAGCACTTGTTTCTTTAAGTGCTCAGGTCTGCTGAATAAATATTGGTTGAATTTGGTAAGTGCAAACACCAAACCAAGTGCCTCGTGGCCTCGCGATCTATTATTGATTTATCTGACTTCAAAAATTTTGTTGATGTTTAGGTAATGGTTTTTTTAGGATGTAAAATAAGGGAGTCTATGGCTCAGGACTGTGTTAAACCGTTGTGGCTTGCCTCTGAGGAGAATGCCGTAGATAAGTCTGGATTGTAAGTTAGTAGTATTTCTGATGATTTTAACATATTTTTTGAAGAAGTAAACCATTTCTTAGTGATCCGACCAATTTCATTAAACTCCTTTTCCTACTATTCTATGTAACAGAGTCAAAGTTCCTAAAAGATTAAATACAAATCATTGTTAATATTTAATAGGTATAAGGAATGAATGTAACCCTTTCATAAATAGTGAGAGCATAGATTTTACTGTCTTAACATGCTGTTTTGGCAGGCAAATAAATATTGTACTGATTTATTTTATGGTCAAGATAAACAATTGATTGCAGTAGAAATTTACATTTTCTATGTTTAATTGCTCTTTATTCAGTCTCTAAAAAACTGCATTTACACCATTCTTACCACACTATGACAAAAGAAACCAAATCATCATTTGAGGATAAATTGCTTTAAAATGATCAATGGAATATATCATAAACATGTGCCCCAATCAATAAGGTTATAAATAAAGTAAAAGTTATAGAATATGACAACTAGTATGAAACTGTTTAGTTAATTGAATTAAATACCAAATAAGACCAGCACATGGGTTCATATGGTTATGGCAAACTCGATTAACAGAGTTATTCATCTATTTAAATTACAATGTCATGGTTACATGAGTACATGGTTTATATATTTTATTATTTTCAATGTGAAGAAGTAATTTTGTTTTCATAACCAGATTAAAAAAAAAATCTGGTATGGCATCACACAACTTTCACTTACCAACCGTAGAATAGATAGATAGGTATTATCATATATAGTAAAGTCAAAGAGAAGACGACGCTATAACTTCATATCCCTCCCTCCCCCACTTCCCATCGAATCTGTTAAATTTATACGCTTGCCTCACTTTCTATTTCCTTTTACGACTGTGTATAGTATCAAAAAATACAAATGATTATGGAGAACAATAGATCTTTATAAACTAGAACTAGAACATTCTGAGTTTTATCGGAAACATTTATCAGGAAACTCGTCGAAAAAATAACTTAACCGTAGTAAATATTGTATATTATTAGGTTTATATTGGTAGATTCTCAACATTTTGTGTGAAAACCTTTTTAAAAAATTATATATTAGTTATATATAAATGTTAAACTAACAATACGAAAGCCCTGTATAGAGGGAAATCGGGTATCTTCAAAGGAGAGGATCGGCAAAGGTCGGGCGCTCTCAGATGTTTCAGTATAGCTTTCGACCTTTATTTTTCCTTTAGTTACTAATAAATTTTCTCAATTCATTATATTTAACCATTTTTTATATCAGATACCAATGTGGAATGGTTAATTATTTAAAAAAGAAATTTAAATGTACTTTAGAGAAAGAAATTTGGAAAATTAGGTATTTAAACCATGTTAGAGAACATCAATAAGAATAAGACTGACATTTTATTAATAATCGCTTAATTATACACTGATATAATGAATTTAATCAAAATTGTTAGTACTGTTTTCAAAAAAATTGTAAAAATGTGTAAAATCTATAATATAAAGGGGCACTTCCGGTTAGCTGATTTTGATAAAAAAGTTGCTGTAAAATTCCAGGCATGTACAAACTAAATTTCTTAGTTGCATAGTGCCTCTTAACTCTTTTAACTTCTGCCATTAGTCTTCAGCCAGCATTGGGGCTGTTGCTGGGGCTAGGCAATAAGCTGTAATCGTTTGGTTCTCTTTTTATGTAGATGATATCCATGGAGCACGTGGTTTATAATAACTTTAAATACTCAATTTCATTGTATACGACTTTTTGTTTTTCAGCTAGACTCTTCACAAACACAGACCATTGTGTGGGACTTTTTTTTTTTTTTTTTTTTGGATCCTTCCCTTCCTCGCCGTTAAGGCTATACGGGGTTTTCCCGGGCCAGGGGGTGTGGGCGGGGATTTAAAAGACTCCCTCGGCACCTGGAGGCGAACTCGTGACTATTTTTATATCATTAGATTCATATGTCAGGTTGCCGGGCAACGGCGGTGCTGTGCACACGCTTTAGCCCCTTCGGCCACCCCGCCCACCCATTGTGTGGGACTTGGTTATTTGGACTCAGGGAACCTCAAAACATGTATTTCCGTTGAAAACTAAGATTAAAAAATTTCCACGATTTCAATACTTTCCCTTACTATATATTACATACACTGACAGGTGAAAAATTCCACCCCCTTGATTTTTTCATCTAAAAATATTTCTGCTTTGGATTGGTCTATTGTTTTTAATGAATAAATAGGTAATCTTTTTGTTTGTTTTCAATTAGGAATGTTAATATAGAGGAAAATAACTCTTAATCCTTAATTCAATGAAATGATTCTAGATTCCAATGTTTACTTTCTATGGAATCAAAATGTTTATTCAGTATCATTAGTTCAGTGCTGTTTCTTGCAGCACATTTCTTAGTCTCCGGCTTTTAATTTTTTCAATATTAAGTTTAAAAATGCCTCTTAGTGCTGAGGATGTTGCGCGTGGTGTGGCATTTATTGATGATGGACGTTCCATTAGATATGCAGCTAATGCCATCAGAGTTCCATATGAAACTTTACGAGGCGCCGTCAGGCGTTTTCGGGAAATTGGTTCTTACAATAGAACCATAGAACTAGGGCCCGGGTAACGGCCTAGGGTAACAGAACCATGGGATGACCGGTTTTTGACTTTGAGAATTTTACAAAACCGGCACCTTACCGTTGTTCAAGCGATTTATCAGCACGAAGAAGTTTGAGGTGTGCAAATTTCTGAACGTACTGCTCGGAGAAGATTAAATGAGTATGGATTAATGGCTTTTCGTCCAGTAAGAAGACCAGAGTTGACCAGAACTCACAGAGTAACACGGCTGGCTTTTGCTCGAGAACACAGCCATTGGACTATGGACGAATGGAGTGCTGCAGTCAAGATTCGCTCTTCGATCTCCAGACGGGTGTGGAGAAGAAGAAACAAAAGATATGCAGCCTGCAATTTTTCCCAGAGCCAACCTTTCCAACGTGGTTCCTTAATGGTGTGGGCTGGGATTTCAATGGAGCGCTGCACAGAATTGGTTGTTGTTCGTGGAGGGTCTTTGACGGCCATTCACTATGTAGATGAGATTTTGGAACTTCATGTGTTGCCTATCCTCAACGAAATCGGCGATCGTTCTATTCTAATGCACGCCCACATGTCACCCGCATAGTGCAGACGTTCCTTCAACAGAACAATATTGAGGTTTTAGCCTGGTCAGCACGTTCTCCAGATTTGAACCCCATTGAGCATTTATGGGATAACCTCGGAAGACGAATAAAAGCGCGTGCAACACTTCCTGATACACTGCAGGACCTTGAAAGGGCTCTTCGGGAGGAATGGGCTATCCTCCAGCAAAGGGACATTTCCCGACTGGTGGAAAGTATGCCGAGACGTCTTCAAGAAGTAGTGAAGGCAATAGGAGGAAACATGCGCTACTAAACGATGATGTAATTAATTTCTTTTAGAATAATAATGGTTCGTTTTTCAATTTTCTTTTCTCTAGTCTTTCTTACCCAATCACATTTTGATTATTAAAGGTAAAAAAGATTATAAAATTCCATAAATACTAAGTATTTTCTACAAATACCATGTATTATATACAAATACAACTTTACAGAAATATTTTTAGATGAAAACATGGAAAAATCAAGTGGGTGGAATTTTTTGCCTGTCAGTGTATATAGGCAAGTGAAAGTAAAAAAGACTGATCTGCTGCTAGACTTAATAATACAGAATTCAATGCATTACATTTGTACACTACTATACTTAGATTTGTATACTAGTTGTAAAATGAACTTAGATATGATCACTAGTTTTTGGTATTAGTATAATATGTACTTTTTATATTTTGGCCTTAAAGAGTTTATACATCCATCTTTAGGAGGAACATTTATATTCAGAGTAAAATTTATTATTAGTTAACAATGTTTACTAAACCACTGTAGGGCCATTAAAACTACTGTGTGTTTTAAGCAGTTTAAAGAAAATATTATATACCTCATTCACCAATTCAGCTCTGCACTGGCTATCTAGACTCTTAATGTTGTTTTTATTTAATAAGATTTTAGCTAATGTTCTGAGAGACATGGAAGAAACACTTTTCTTACATTTCTTCTTAATGAAAGCATATACATTAGCAAATCCATGTACAACAGACTTGAATTTTTCCAATAATGAATACCTGAAATAACAATAGAAATCAAACATAAACGATAATCAAATAGCTAAAATAAAAAAATAATTATAGAAATTACTAAAACAAATAAACTGTTCTATAACAAATAAATTGATAATAATAAAATGAGGGAACATGCTTGAAAATCAATTTTTTATAACATATTTTCCTTTAGTGTCCCTCAGGGTTCTTCTCTGTTCCCCACCATTTGCTATTCATATTAATGACCTCCTGAACCATTACTCCCAACACCATGTATATCCTGATGATTTCTAAATGTACCTGTTCTTCCTGCCTTCTGACCTATTTCCAGCGACAAAAACTTCAAGACTTGAATAGAATGTGTGACTGGGAAAAACTAACAAGTTGAAATAAACATAAATATAAACAGTTTTTTAAAAATTACTGATGGTTTGAAGGCAAAACAAGAATTGAGTTTTTTTCATAAATCATATGGGTTTGGGTGGGAGGTGCAGAAGGAAAGGGGGTAAGATAATGGCTATTTAATAAAAATATTTTTAAAAATGTCAAAACTAAAAGTAGATGCTAACAGGTAATAAAATTTTTAAAAATACAAAATTAAGTGAGTATAGATACATATTTTTTGAGCTGTTATTACCTGTTAACATTTACTAATAGTTTTGTTATTTTTTTAAATATTTAAATAGCCATTAAATGACAATTTAACAATTAGCTTACCTCTTCCCTTCAGCAAACGATTTCAGAAAAAGCTCAGTTCTTGTCCAACCTTCAAACCATTGGTAATTCTTAAGGAACTCTTTATATTTAATAATCTCTATTTCAATACTTTTCTTTTTCATATTTGTTAATTTTTATTTATATATGTTGTTTTTGAATACTTTTTATTTATTTATGCTAATTATTTGGTTTTGTTTTTATTTTTACTTTTGATATAATTATCTTTTTCATTTATTTATAGTACGAAAACATTTTCTTAGCATATTGCAATGTTTTTATAGTTGCCATGTTTTTATAACCATTATCTCATTTGTATGCTTCATTTTTTTTTTCTCTCTTACACTTTTATTTATACTATTATTTATTTATCATTTTTCTGATGTTATTTTATATCTTTTAATTTTAAGCTCTGATGATGAACCACATTTTTGGGTCGAAACTTTGGCAAACTCAATGAAGAAATTCTTTACTGCACATCCTAACTATTTTCATCCTTATAATTTTAAGTCAACTATATAGATCTCTGAAATGTTAAAATTTATGTTAGATTCATCAAAGTATTCTTTGATTTCAATAAAGAAGTTGTTACCGTTTTAAAGCTTGCAATAGTATAAAGGGTGAATATTCATATGGTTCAAAACACATCAACACAACAGGAGTAGTCCCACGTTTAGCTAACCAATCTATGAAGTCACTCAAACATGCAATTTCTGTATTTGTTTTAATCACCTGCAACAAAACAAAATAGACTAAATAACTTGCATTATATAGCTATAAAATACTTATGATCTAATTGAATACCAAGTTAAAAATAGATGAAGATCATACTACTTAAATATCCAACCCCACTAATCTGGGCCTTTCGTATACAAAACTCCTCCCCTAACCATTTTCTTTTAGGTACACTTATTTTTAATCACAAAAAACTGATGCCAATTGTAATATATAATATATAATGAAATTTGTAATTCTAATTACCTAATATAAGATTAAAAAAGAAATTTAATGTTTAACTTTTTTTTTTTTTAAATGTATATCATACCGAATTCATAAATAAAAAAAATTATGAGAAATTATTTGGCCCTTTTATAATGTCATTAAATATTATATTGTGGTTCATAACATTAGCAAAAATTTCCAACCTTTTTTTTTTCAATCCCCCAGAAACTTTATTTAAAACAAATTACAATAAGGAAATGTATATACAATGAACATCGCACCTTTGATTACCTAAAGATATTGTAAAAAAAAACAAAAAAAAAACAACTTCCAACAACTATCTTTGCCTATAAGATGGTCTGTACTTGTTTTAATCACCTGCAACAACATTAATCATCTATTCACATTGTGGGAGAACTTCATCTCAAAGTTCACCAAATCAGTCAAGTATTCTTTTCATAAGTACCATAATTTCAGCTAGAACTAAAAAGATTTCAGTGAAACATCTGTATTTGCCTACAGTAACTCTAAAAGGCTTTTAACTAGACACCTGATCTTCGTGCAGTAAACTCCCAAAAGGGTGCGGCATAAAAAACCCCAAAAATGTGAAATTGTATAATTAACACCTAAAAATTTCAAAATCATCTATTTAGTTTAATTTACGATATTAATGCATCGAAATCTTATCAAACCTTGTGTTAAGCTACTGAATTAAAATAATTTGTAACGAGAAAAAAAAAAAAAAAATTAAATTGCAACATTGAAAATGAAATTCATCAAGAGGACCCAAGAAATCCCGCGAAGAATCCAGTTTGAACAGGATCTCCATTATTCAACTCAATATGGTCCAACGGCATATTGTAGCAGATGAGCTACAAGCTCTCGCTCAGCGCTATGATATCAGGGTGGTTCAAGAACTGAGCTGTCGTGGGAGTAAGATGGTAGGATTTGATCACACATTGCTTTTGAGAGTTATTGTTATTGAGAGTTATCTAGGCACTGGAGAGAGGAGACCTAGGGCTGCAATAATAATCGCTAACCCAAATTTCGAAGTGATGAGTCTTGAGCAGTATACCAAGGCGGGCAGCGTAGCATGCTACATCAGATGGGGCAGCATCGCCTTCACCCTTCCTTCGGTGTACTTACCCAACAGAATATAGGAGAGGGTATATCCACCATCAAAGCAATCACTGGAAGATATAGAAATGTAATCATCTGCTCGGACACAAACTCCTGGATTACGGTCTGGGGTTCCAGTCGAACAGATGGGAGAGGTGTCAGACTTGGTAAATTCATTGAAAGAGGCTAACTGGTAGTGGTTAACGACCAGAGTGTGGTCCACTCCGTCGTTCTCTGTACCATGGGGTTACGTTGGCCTCACCAGCACTGATAGGACACATTGTCGACTGGAACCTCATATCTAAAATGAGCTCCGACCACAACACAATCGTATTTAATCTGATACAGGATGCAAGATGCTCCCATGATATTGATAGAGGATATGTGACCCAAAGAGAAGATTGGAGCATCTTTCGATCAGCGCTGCAGGGAAAGCTAGTGGATGAAGAGTGGGTCAACGGGGACGTTGACAATAACGATGACCTGGATTACAGGGTGTGCAGGATTACCAGGTGCAGTAATGAAGAGAGGTGTGCTGCACTTAGTTATTAATACAGGTCTAAGGCTAAGGTATGCCGGAATGAGGTGCGTTCACAGAAAAAAATTCATCATGGAATGAATTCAGTCAGGAAGAGTCAGTGAAGAATTCCTGGGGTATCCCATACAGGGTGGCCTTTGAAAAGCTGACCCCACAGCAAGCCATTGCAGCTCTGAGACAAGGAGGCACACAGGCAGCCAGCCACCCTGGAGGAAACAGCAAAGATGTTTATAAAAGAGACATATCCCAGGGATGATCCATCACATGATGATGATAATGACCATGCATTTGAGAGACGAGCCACGGTATATCGCCTGGAACGGACCTGTGAAAATTAGAAGACACTGTCGAGAGGGACTGCCCGCAGAGTTCTATTCTTGGTCCCACCTAGTGGAAGCTAGTCTTTGACGAGTTTGTTGGAGAAACGCGAAGAGAAGCGGTTCCCTGTCACTGCCTATGTTGACGATTTAACCACTGTGATGACCTCAAACAGCATAGCGGGTCTGAAAGCAGAAGCTGAACGATGCGCCAGCTTGGTAGGAAGATGGTGTGAGCGGAAGAAGTTGAAGATGGCTGCCACAAAGACCCAGGAAATTCTCTTGAGGAGCACGACTCACAGGGCTCATATTATTACGTTGAATATAGAAGAAAGGGTATGTCCAAGTGCAGTTGTCACTTACCTTGTTATAAGAATTGGTCGAAAGTTCAAAGTGACTCCTAACTTGGATCATATGAGAACTAGGGTTACACTGGACAGGGGCGCCTTCTGGCCTTTGTGAGACAAGCTACGGTATACCCACCTGGGACAGACCTGTGCCTATCATGAGACATTTGGGACCTCTACAGTGCTGCGGAAAGGCAAAAGACTGGCCAGACCCCAAGTTTAGATGCAATTGATGCAGCAATCAATGCTCAAGAATAGTATTACCTATTTAGGTCTCATATAACCAGCTACAATGACTATCTACAAAGGGGTAGTTTTGGGTATTCTGAGATATGAGTTTTCACCCTGGAACCTAAATCTCTCACACCAACAGAAGAGTAGGATAGCATCAATTCAGAGATTGGCTTTGCTTCGGGTCACTGGAGCCTGTAGAACGGTGTCCCATGAGGCGGTGCAAGTACTGGAAGAGGGGATATCTCTCGATCTCCTCCTGTGAGAAGACTATTACTTCTTCAAAATGAAAAGACAAGGATCGGCGGATCTACCAGAATATCTAAAGATGATAATTGATGAAGACCCAAGAAGATGAAAGAGAATTATCAATAAGGGCACAGTTGATGAATGTAACTGGATGACGTGGAAGTGGGCTACACTAATGAAGTACTTCCCCATGGTCAAGTCACGATTAGATGCAAAATGGGTACTACCAAATTACTCGGTGTCTTAACTCCTCACGCGACATGGGGGCTTTCGAGCGAAACTTGTTGAACACGGGAAGAATATTGATCCCTTAAGCCTCATCAGCAACGGTCCGGACACCGCCGAACATGTGGGCGGCGAACGCAATGCCTAGGAGGCACTAAGAGCTAAGCTCCTGAGTGAGATGGGTACATATACGCTGACAGAGAGCATGTTCCTCCAGCTAATGACCAGAGAGAATTACTCACATTATAGGGAATTCGCATACGTGTGGAAAGATGCTGTACGCCCTACGCATTTTGATCTGGGAAAAAGAGAAGCAATTTACAATTTGCAAAAGGTCGAGTAATTCAAATTTCTTTTTTATATGGTTAGGTATGTAGTGAATATAAAATATCCAAGTTTTCCCCCTGAAAGCCTCGTGGGTTCGCTGCAGTGCTCCAAAAACCATTGAAATTTCGAAATTTTTTTGGTTTACGCTAAATATTTCCTTTTTAGAGTGAAAAAGGTGAAAAATGGCTATATTCAATCTTAAACAGCTTAAAATTATCTAATATATTTTTTCTAAACTCAACAGGAAGCGAACTATCTAGGTTTCAAAATTTATCCATTTCGATTTCTTCACAAGAGCGCTCTTTCAGTTTTGGACGGAATAATTTTGTAACTACATTTTGAATATCGTCCAGAGAATTTGGAGGTTTTCCTTGAAGATAATGAGCCATTGACTGAAACGGTAGACGGTAGTCGGGAGGCCTTTTGAAAAGTATGTTACACCACCCCTACCGTGCACTCTCCCCCCACATCCCAATAAATTGCATACAGTTGTGTTCCTTGTAAATATTTATTAAAAAAACAAAACAATGTTCTCACATAAGTGGACGCACTGTCCCAAAATGGCGGATTGACGACTTAGACTTCAATTAGTTTTTCGGACACTGAGATTAAAATTGGATAGTTAAGAGAATAACAAAAATGAAAAAATAATTGGCCATGGCAATAAAAAACACCAGTAAAATTAATTTTTTTAGATCCTTCAAAATCAAGCGTCGCTTGTAAAATAAACGGCCAACAATAACGAAAAACGCCCCAGAATAAATATCTGGATAAAACATTTTTCTTTCTAAAAATTTATAACTTTTTAAAATATCTGAAGCGGTTAGTTAAAAAATATACTTAATCGGCGGAAAAGCGGCGATGGTATAGGCGACGAGTCCTGTGTCACATCATTCAGTACTCATAAATGGCGTAGTTATGGTGTTATAATAACGTTCTTAGTACATTATTTTGATCATATTAACGAACAAATATTGATACAACAATTTAATATAGTCAAAAACAATTATTTGTTAAGAAATCGTAAAAGTCTTGAGATAGTTACAATCCGTAAAACACAAACAAAGAAATGTAATTTGGACAGTATTAATTATTAAAAATGTGTAAGAATAAAGTTCACATATAAGCAACAAGAAAAACAGTAATTTTTTATGACATTTTGATTAAATTTAAATTTGGTTAAAATAATGGAAAACAGTAAAAATGAAATTATAAGATTTTTTTTTCCAATTTCAAAACATTAATTTATTTTTATCGTCATACCAGACTGAAACGATAAGAAACCGCTCGACGTTTCCGATTACTTCAGCACTTATTAGACAAACGCTCTAAACTTCCAATTAATTACAAAAGACTCATATACATGACAATAATAAGACCTATTTAGACCACGGGCGGATCCACGGGGGGAGGGGGTGCTTTCTGGCTGAAGCCTCC